AGTTATAATATAAATTTAAATAATATCAATTGTTTCCAAGTCAAACTAATGATATAGTAACCCATCATTGTGTATAACATATTTTCCTACAAGTATTTATTATTGTTTTGATTCATTTTTAACAAACTTTTAGAAATTGTTTTATCATTTAATACATATTTAGACATTTTAAGTCATGAATTTTAAGTAAATTAATGATTTTAATGGTTTATGACCAAATATTTATTTATATTTATTTAAAAGTCAAATATGTATTTATATGTAAAATAAAACTTTGTTAAAATGACCCTTATTATGTAATTGGTTTGCCTCCAAAGTCCCAAACATATATAGCTAACCGTTAAAAACATTTAAAAACATATTCTGATCAGCTTTAGTGATTAGTGTTAAGAATATGACTGCAGGCCTATAGGAAACAGTATTGATTGTGAGAAATTTGAACTTGTTTAAAGCTTTGATCAAAGCTTGCTTTTCTAAATTGTTTAATTAATAATCTTATTACTTACTGTACTTAATACATTATAATTTCTAAATATAATATCTAATATTCTGATCAATGTATAAGCTACTATAACTAATTATTCAAAAAATTAAAATATTTAAAAATTAATTATTTATGACTAAAAATGCAATTAATAATTACATTTAGCAACTGTATCTGTATTTAAATGGATATTCGTATACATGTATATGGATAACATAGGTATAGTGTATTGTATACCTTATCGTAAATTACAAAAGTTTATTATTTGTTTTACAATACAGTGAACTAATTTTGCACTATTGTTTGAATTGAATTTATGTTTATAAATAAATAATTTGGAAAAGACTAAAATTTTCATTTTTAATTCAAAAAATATTTGTTTAATGTAAATTATTTTTTAACTGATTAATTAAATGTCAAATAAATACAAATATTTACAACACATAACTACCTTTTTACAAAAACAAATGACTCAACAAACTAGTATTTTACACTAACATAACGTACCATATCATAAGACAAGATAAGGATACCATATCAATTGTCCCACGTTTACATTGTTACTATTTAACTACGTTATATAAACATAACATTTTGCAGTACAAAACATATAAAAATATTTACAACAGCGACTTATTATAATAGAAAATAACGTATAATAAGTTAAATTACAAACAATATTATTTTTTGTTCAAATTATTTAAAAATAAATTTTATAAATTCAACTCGATAATGTTAAAATTAATATCAATTATAATGGTATTATCATGGTGTAATGTGGCAATTGCCCAAGTGGTACTACCACCTGGTTTAAACGACACGTGCGCTATGAATGTGTTATTTAAACCCGAGGGCCAGAAATGTATAGAAAGTGTGACGAGTTTGGAAACCATTAATCAAGATCTTAAAGACCAACACAAAGTATGTTGTATTGCCTGGACTGGTGTCTATTGTGTCCGAACATATCACCTGGTAAGTTTTAATCATGGCAGCACTAGCCATGCAATATTAATTCCTTGATAATTAAATTTAATTTGATAAATGTATAGAATTATTGTCAAGACACTGAATATGCTGAATTTGAACAAAAAGCAACCGCTTATATCGGAAACAATTTAAATAACACGTGTATCAACGAGGACACATTTGATAAATGGGTTGTTCAGGGTTGCTCAGGGTCATCAGTGGTTTCTACTTTAAATATATTATCTTCATTAATTATTACCGTGCATTTGTTGCAAAAAATAACTGGTATAATAGAATTGTAAATGTTTTAATTTTAAAAAAATTAGTAAACAATATTTTTTATTTTTAGTAAATTTATTCAAATACAACAGTAAATTTTAAATGTAACAAATATTGTAGTGAAATATAGAGATTGTGCATTTAGAAACTATAAATTGATATAAAGGTAGTTTTGTGAATTATGACTCATAATTTATGAGTGATTGTTGCAATATTACAATAAAATAATTATTTAATTACACTATTAATGACAAACGCACTAACAAGTCATGTTAATCTATCTAATTAAAAACTACAATAGTATTAGTAAATAATCCAGTAAATGATAAAAATCAACCATTTACAATCTATATACTAATTTACTTTTTAATAGAATAGGCATGAATAATAGAACCAAGTTCAGATTTCTATTATATTTAAAGTAGAGGGTAGTTATGGTCAAGACTATACTAAATGAACTAATATCTATAAATAGTATAAATAACTTATGAAATTAGAATTAATTTTGTTTTGTTTTGTTAATATTAATATTCTACTATTTAAAATAATTTATTAACCAAGGTCTTTCCTATATTAATAAAGTTTTCTGATTTTTAAAGACCGAAATTTATGAAAGATTAATATAATAGACAATTTCTGTGACAAATACGATGACCGCAATGGGAATGCCTGTCATATACGGACCCAACGCTTTCTTAATGGACTCCAAATTAAACCAATTATTTGTTTGTGTCTCGGATTCAACGAATTTATTTCGTAAAATATATGTGTATTTATAAATAAAAAATGAATTTCGCCACAAATAAAATAATCCAGTTTCTATCGATGTGTGCAATCTATAAATAAAAAGAATATATTATTTAGAACAATAACAAATAAAATATTATGATTATATCTGCTACTGTATATAACATTTAGTATTTTTTATATCGCTTTAACCAAAATTACTTAATATTTTGTTTTGTTTAAAAACAGTTTAATTTTTGGTTATATTATTAATTAAATATACAAACATTTGTCTGAATTCTGAGCCAATGTATTGATATGTCTTATGGAAAGTCATACCCAAGTATTGCAAATTGTTTTGTTCAGCCATTATATACACGGACTGACGGCCAATATTCAGCACTTGAGCCAATGGCTCAATAAGATGTGTCGCTGAAATTAACACATGCGTCCGCTTATAACGAACATTGTCAATGATCCAGGGCAATTTTTCAAACATTTCAGGAAATAGTGTTATTTGTTTGCGTTGACTCAAATCTTTGTTAATTATGACCATTTCTGTTGGATTTGCATGAGCCTGTTTAGATAAATTAAAACACGAACATTGAAATTATTAACAAATATACATAATGTAATTTTTAAGAAATGGCCCTATTCTCATCATTTAAAAAGGATTTGCATGAGCCTGTTTGAATAAGTATAAACACAAAGTTTGTTAACTATAAATCACTGACGAATGTTTAAATTATCACATGAATAAAGTTACATAATATTGGGTCGTTCATTATGTAATAATATTTTCGAATTATTTTAAGTTTGAATGGCTGGCAAATTTATTCGGTAAATGCTATCATATTGATTTATGCGCTATTTTGTGCAGTCATTATTCTTCTTTAAATTCATGTAACAAAAGTTCTAAAATAATTTTAAGAAGTGGTGATTTCACCCAAAATTTAAAGTACCGAGAACATTAATAAAGATGACCTATTTTTGTTTTAAGTTAAAAGTACTAATAAATAGACACACAGTTACAATATATAAATCTTCGGCGATGTATTGGATACCAACCAATGACATGAATTGCTTAAAAGTTTTAAATCAATTGATTATAACCTTAAAGATCGCACCCGAACGGCCCGACACCGGTAAGTGGACAATCGCGTGCCAATAATTCCGGTTGTGTCAGATCAGTGATTTTTCCACATGAAATTGTTGGTCAACTTATGCTTATACTGGGAAATAATTTGTGACCATTTAAACCCGAGTGAGCATTTGTTCAGAGCATGTAATTACATGCATACCTAAAATATGCCTAATTTTGGCCTATTTTTAGACCACATTT